TGCGGGCATTCCGCTATCTTCTTGCAAGCTCTGGCTTGAGAATAACTTTGTCGGACGGGCTAATATAAGATGGTCTGCGGAGCCTACTTGTAGGATAGCAAGACATATCTGGCCTAAGCTTGACAAGCGTAGATCTCGCCCTCTTCTCCACTTGGAGCGACCACTGTTGCGGCATGTTATTGGAGTTCTCACCGGGCATTGCCTGATGGGAATCCACGCCACTAGAATGGGTTTGCAGTCAAACGACTACTGTCGTAGGATGAGGAGGAAATCGAAAGCGTGGAGCACTACTTATGCCACTGTCCTGCTCTGGCGAGAGCTCGCCGATGCTCGTTCCTCCATTATTCTTTTGAATGTCTGGCCGAACTGGATTCAGCCAGTGTCTATGACTTTGTGCGCTTCATCAGAGCTACGAAGTGGTTCCACTACTAGGGTAAGAGGAGGGACATATGGAGTCTCTTATACGGCATCACAACGGGTCCTTGGTGGCCTAAGTGTGCCCCTTTCCTGAGGGATTAGGGCAGCCGAGTTAACCTAACCTAACCTAACACATCACCGTTTATAAGAAAAAAAAATACAACAGCTTTTTTGACAATTCTGTGCATTAAAATGATTACTAAAATTCACAAATTCAGGTTTAGGTCATAAATTATATGAGACGTATGTATATTGCGATAGGCAATACCACAAGATTAGTATTGCTGGTTCAAAAAAAAAAACCTACGCTCGTAACGAAATATTAAAAAAAATAAGCCATAAATATCCGTTTGGGAAATTTGCCATAACCCTAACGGGAACCATAGAAGCTATTGAGTGTTGATTACACAAATGGAAGAAAAAGAGGAAAATAAAAAGCACACTAGAAACAAGAAACACCCGAAAGAAATTTTGTCGAAAAATTGTATAAAATTGAAAACACTAAAAACTAAATAATAACGTAATTAACTGGGCAGGTGTAAAGGAAACAAAACTAGTAGCGGTTCCTTTTGCTGTTGTTCTTTAAAAGTAGTATCTAGCTGAAAGAAAATATGCATGCAGTAGTAGTTTCGCTGCTACATATCTCTAGCGGGTATGCTTCACGCACACCTACACATCTTACCCACTAAGTAATGAAGGTGCAGCACTGAGTGGTTAGACATGATGCTGAATACCGTCAACCAACTACATACATATTTTTGCATGCATATTCACACATAAATATGTATGTATGTGTATGTATGCTAGACATGTACATATTCAGTTTGGAAAAGTTGGACAGTGGTCAATGCAATACACTAGGCTTGCGTTCAAAGTTGCTATGCAGCTGTTGCACAAGGAACAATTGTATGTATTGCCAATGTTGTTTTTTCGTTCATTGTTAGTGATGCAATATGATGCCAATTGGAGTTGTGGACATGTGTGTGTGTGTGTGTGTGTATGTGCATCACTCATACGCACTGTTAGCCATATAAAAGGAAAATGAAAGAGTATGCAAATGTTTAGAGCGCGTTGCATAATCGATAGCGAAACAGTAAACGACACGGATAGCAAACAAGTCTGGATAAAAGCAAAAACGCCAACAACGCCAATAACAACAACGACAGCAACAGCGAAATAACCACAGTAGTAACAATAAAAAAGAATGCAAACAATGCCAGCAAATGGTTGCTATGCTTGGTATGGTATTTCGCATTGTGCGAAAAAATCAGCAGAAAATCAAAACCATTTTGAAAAACATGGAATTTTGCTCGTAAAATCATTGGCAGCAATACCACAATTCGTTCGATGCGTTTTAGATTCATGTATTGGTATGCACTTATTGGTGAGCCTACGCTTACAAACATACATACATACATAAGTACATATGTATGCAGTTAAAGGGTGTTTCGGATTAAAATACTTTTGCCATTAGCCAATGTTTGTTCAATAAGAGTGCACTTTTTGCAGCGCTACTTTTAATAAATACCTGCAACTGGATGCAATATTTGCGAAATAGGAGGCGTAAAAATTTTACATTTCAAGCACTCGAAATGATCGAGCGCACTTATGTTAGATACATATGGAAGGCGCTGCTTAGAAATTCCAGTGAAAAGCTTTTAAAATCTTATATTGAAAATAGTTTATGTTTATGATTGCTCCTGCATACATCTCCATTCGAAGGGCGCGTGTTTTAAAATCAATAAACTAGAACATTCGTATGAAATTTGTTAACCAATTCGGATGGTATTCCCTCCTGTGACCTAAGAAAAGTGGGGCATTCAGGTTTACATTACCTAGTATCGCGAAATGAATGCCATTTAATATGAAATTTTTGGGACTTTTTGAATACATTAGAATGCTGTTTACATATTAAACAGTAATTGGATCTAAAACTCATAAGAAATATATTCGATTATTTATCACGCATGGAATGCATTACTACTTTTCCCACTGGGATGGTTTGAAAAGTAACGAAAAGTCGAACAAATGTTATTTATACTGATTTCAGCAAGGCATTTGATAAAGTATCTCATTCAATTCTCAAACACAAACTTGATAAAATTGGTTTCCTTCCAATCTTACTGCGCTGACTTTCTTCTTATTTAAGGGGCAGCCACTTAGTATAGGTTTCTTTAAAATTTCTTAATACATATCGAGTAAGTCATAGTTGCGTTGAAGACTTTCATCACGGCTTGAGTATCTGCATACAATAAAAGTGTGTTTTGTGGAAGCAACGTTTGTTATACTTACCAATTTTTCCGTCCCATAAAATATTAATGACCTAAGACGGAAAAAAACGTCAGCCGTTTCGAAGTCTTTTAGATTTCGTTAATTTACCGAATTTTATTCAAGCGTACGGCTCAGAATAATCTGTAAATCTCGGAATCGTTTAAACAGATTCTCAGTCAAAACTGGCCTTTGATGTGAACAGTAAAGCTGGCGTCGAGTCCTTTGGGAAGGTTACAACATGCCATGCCATGCGAATTTTTCCGAGAAATTCCGAAGCAGACAATTGAGCGAGAAAGAAATCCAAGATAGGATTAGGGGAAGCAAGTGAAGTATCGTGCCCGTAATGAAATCGACCCATGATAACAAAGGAACCAACGACAAATTATTGACATATCGAAGCAGGGGCCGAACATGACCGTTATATACCAAGGTTTTTATTTTTAGATCATTGCAAAATCGATAAATTTTGATTTTTATTTTTTCGGTCAAATTTTGGATCTACCTTTTTGCGATCTTTGTTAACCGTAATGATGGAAACTGAAAAACTGGAAAAAAATTTTTTTCGGTATAATTTCCAAGATTTTTTTTTTCTTTTCGGGAACTCTAGAAATATTGAAAAGCTGCTCAGAACAATGTTAATTTTTTTTCAAACATATAACTTTTTCGACTTTTAGGAAAAAATGTTTTTTCGGTGTAATTTTGCATAGCCTTCTTTTCCGTTTTCAGTAACAGAACAGTTTTAATTAGATTTTTTTTTCAAAAATTAAACTTTTTCGACTTACAATTTTTTTTTTCGGTGTAATTTTGCAGATTTTTTTTCTTTTCAGGAACTCTAGAACTATTGAAAGGCTGCTCAGACCAATTTAATTTTTTTTTCAAATATTTAACTTGTTCGACTTTTAGTAAAAAATGTTTTTTTCGGGGTAATTTAGCAGAGCCTTCTTTTCCCTTTTCAGGAACTCTAGAACTATTGAAAGGCTGCTCAGACCAATTTAATTTTTTTTTCAAATATTTAACTTGTTCGACTTTTAGTAAAAAATGTTTTTTTCGGGGTAATTTAGCAGAGCCTTCTTTTCCCTTTTCAGGAACTCTAGAACTATTGAAAGGCTGCTCAGACCAATTTAATTTTTTTTTCAAATATTTAACTTGTTCGACTTTTAGTAAAAAATGTTTTTTTCGGGGTAATTTAGCAGAGCCTTCTTTTCCCTTTTCAGGAACTCTAGAACTAGTGAAATGCTACTCAGGACAGTTTTAAATAGATTTTTTTTTTTAAAAATTAAACTTTTTCGACATAAAAAATTTTTTTTTCGATGTAATTTTGCAGAATTTTTTTTTTCCTTTTCAGGAATTCTAGAACTACTGAAAACCTACTCAGAATAGTTTTAATTTTTTTTTTAACATTTACCTTTTATCGACTTTTTGGGAAAAATGATTTTTTAGGTGTAATTTTGCAGAACCTTGGTTTCCTTTTCAGGAACTTTAAAATTATTGAAAGGCTACTCAGAACAGTTCCGTATTTGCATAAAAAGTTTTTGGAATTTTTTTTTGGCAAAATATTCAGAAGTTTTTTTTTTCCTTTTAAAGCGCTCTAGAACTGTGAGAAGCTACTCAGAACAGTTTTTTTTGTCCTATCTATCGTATGCCATCTTCACAGACATCGAACCCTGACACAGTTTTATTACACTGGTAACCTCGGAACTAAGTACATATTTTTTTACAATAAACTGCTTACATGGGACCGACAGAAATAACTATTGAATTTTTATAGTATTTTTTTTTTTTTTGTTTCAAGATAACAACTTTCTTGCGCACATTTATAATTTGTTGGCAATAAAAATGTAAGTACATACTTTGTAAACCTAAAATTAAATTTATGGTTTCAACTTTAAAAAGAATTTAATCACCCGCTATATAAACGCAGTCATACGCAGTCAAGCAAGAAAAAAGTGGAAGCAAAAAAAAAATATGTGAAACTTGAATAATTCAAAGGAAAAAGAATTAAAACCAAAAAGAAAGAAAAAAACAAAAAAAGCCATGGCTTATAGTCAAGCGCAGATGTGGCATAAAAGTGTAATCCCACCTCAATCTTGCACTTCACTACCTGCTCATAGAGCAACTTTACATGGGAATGAGCTAGAAAAACGCTACAGCTGTGAGAAACCACAATGCTGTACCACTTGCCGCACGCGTTTGAATCTAAGACACATGGTGTACATTTACTCCTACTACTCTAGTTAAGTAAACGATACCAGTCGTTTGCATATGCCTCTACGTATTTGTACATCTACGCTTTTTTTTTACTCAGTACTTACCCAGGATTCATTGTTATGAATATGGAGCATGTGGGATCCAAACGCAGAAATGTGTCCTCAAAAAAGAGTTTAACCACCTTCCGACCAATGGCGCGTTGAATTGTTAGAATTTGTTGTGCTACCACAGACAGTACCTCTAATTCAATACGATTGAACTCATCGAAACATGCCCAGGCGCCAGATTGTGCTAAGCCCTGTAAGAAGAAGAAGAAGGAGAAATGAAAAAACAATACACTCACATAAAATCATAGTCAGAGAAAAGATATTAAACAAACAACAATAAAAAGGCAATACGTATTTGCGTTGCAGGCGGAAAGGATTACAAACAATGAACAACGAAACAAAAAAAATTAAGGAAGCGGATAAAGGCACTAAGGAAAACAGCATCCATTATTGAGATGTACATACATTTGCATGTACTGTGTATTGAATAGAGTTAGCAAAAGAGTTTAGCAACGCATATGCGTTCATGCTCGTGTAAATAAGCAAATGTGGCATATGCAAATGCACTTGTAACAAATTGAAAGCTTCGCAGGCGGCGTGGTGTAGAATAAGCCAGCACGTGTTTGCTTTCGGCTAACAAAAAAAAAACAAAAAACAAATAAATATATTCACAGTAAGCGACAAAAACAGGGACAAGAACCAAATATATACATACATACTAGAGAACGTGCATGGCGTTAAAATGCCCAAAATTAAATTTATCCAAATGCTAGTCAGAGTTATAAGAGATCCGAGCGCCATATTTCACCTAAAACTGTGCAGCTATTGGAACATATATTTTAGTAATTCATTTGAGCTGTTAAGTAATTTGAATTTAATTCTTTAAACAGGTGGCAACCCTTTTCGAACACCTAAAAAATATTCTTAGCGTTCAAGCTATTCATATTTCATATAACTTGTGTATAAATAAAACTAAATTCGACATTTCAAGCAGGTGGCAACCCTCTTCAAAGTATTTTCAAACTACTGCTTTCTGAAACCCCTTTCGTTTGGCACCCATATGGTGATACATATTTTTCAAATCTAATATGATTTTTTAAACAGGTGGCAACCCTCCTATAGTTCAGCTAAGAAACAAAGCATTTTAAAGCCATTTCGATTGATACCAATTTTTTAATAATTGATTTATGTATTTTTTAAACAATTTGAACATAATTTTTATAAAGGTGGCAACTCTTCGAATAAGTTAAACTTTATTGCGCAACTAAAGCCAGAGCCTTTTAATTTGATACCTCACTTTTGAAAAGCGAACGAACGGTACGGATCTGATGGTATTGATTATTAAAAAATTTTAATTTAATTGTTCAACAGGTGGCAACTCTTTTCGAAAAAATAAAACCAGTTCGCACATCTACAAGCCAAGGGCTTTAATTTGACACCCCATTCTTGAAAATCGAAGGAACGGTGCAGATCTTTTATGTTGAACAAAAAATGCCTTCGCGTATTATATAAGTGGCAAAAGAACGATGTTGCTGGCGTATGCAGATGATATCGATATGGTAGGTCTGAAACAAAGGCACGTAACCGCAGCATTTTCATGTTTAGAAAAAGAAGCTAAAGAGGTTGGTCTAGCGGTGAACGAGCGCAAGACAAAGTAGCTCCTGGCAACATATAAGGAGTCCACGTATTTCGGTACACACGTCATTGTTGACAGCTATAACTTTTAAGTAGTGAAGGAAATTGTCTACCTAGAATCCAGCATAAACACCACCAACAACATCAGCCCTGAGATCAAGCGAAGAATAACTCATGCCAACAGGTGCTACTTTGGGCTCGGTAGGCAATTGAAAAGCAGAGCGCTCTCTCGACGAACAAAAATCGCGCTCAACAAATCTCTCATCATACCTGTCCTTTTATATGGCGCGATTTCGCTGGCTTGGGCATGTTGTACGCATGGATGATGACCCACGGCACCCATGGGTGGACAATGAAAGCAAGCGCATCCACGAACACAATGGAAGGATCAAGTGCTGAAGGACCTGTATGCGCTCGGGATAACCAACTGGCGAAAATTCGAACAGGAGAGAAACAGTTGGAGAAGCTTTTTGGTCTCGGCCCAAACTGACAAATGGTTGTAGTTCCAAATAAAAAGAAGAAATTCGAAAATTTACGAAGGCTTGACCTAGTTATCTTCTAACGTTGTCGTACGGAGTTGGGACAGACATAGTTATTCGTTTAATAGAGAAGTATAATCAGAGTATTCGTCTAATCGCGTACATGCCCCGTAAACCCTGTAAACCAAAAGTGTACTGAAGGAAATAAGACATCGAAGGACAGCCAAATGGGTAAAACACGCTAACAGTGTATTATAATTTAAGTTTAACACTAGAATTTCTTTTTCTTGGTGACCTTAAGGACCTACTAATGGTCTATGGGAGATTATGCGGAACAGCCTAGTAAACCTAACCTAACATCACGAAATTTTTTATCTCAAAGCTTTGGTAAGGCGCAAGCAATCATATGAAGTGATTTTTATGAAGAACGTCTGATATGTATTTTGAATCGTAAAAAAATTTCAAATTGCGTAGTCTAAAAATGGTACATATCTCCCTTCATAATCGTAGAAACCTACAAAGAAAAGGTTGTTTGGCTAAATATTCTTTAAAATTTGATTTCAAAATATCTCAGTGTGCTACTACCTTTTAACGCTGCGGTTCATTCCTCCCTAAAATATGATTTTAGTTAAACAAATATTTGCTGGCAGATTTTGCTCTTTGCTCTGTTTTTACCATAAAAACTGCAGTTAAGTTAGATTTTTATGTTCATTATTCCTTCTCAGTTATGTAACTGTGCAGTTTTTGTTTTCGTTTTTTCCAAATGTTTTTCTTCTGTTCCCCACTCAATGCCTTTAGTCGCTGCAGTTGTGGCAATTGAATTCGAATGAGTAAAATTTCTTAAAATTTTCTTTTACATACATACATATATACCTACATTCGCACAAAAGTACTTTCAGACAATTTTGTTGTTTTAATTTTGGTCAAAAATTGGTTCTTCTAAGTCATTTTTCATTGTTTGTGAAAATAAGGCAATTAGTGTGTGTAGATATGTGTGTTTGTTTGGATGTACATACAAACATTTATGTGGCTATTCGTATATTCACTTTTCATTCGTTTTGCTGTTTCGCAAGCATTTCCTTCATGTTTTTACTACATTTGAAGTTATATCAGCAAGTTTGTTTACTTTTAATTTGTTTCAGTATTTAGTGTGAATTGTATTATGCTTTGTTTTAGCATTTGAGGTGCAATGGCCCCACAATATACAAAGTATTTAATACATACATACATACATATAAGCTTCAAGCGGTATTTATTTTCGGTTGGAGTTAATTGCTTGTTGAAAATACTATTTTAATGATTCGAGTAGAGTAAATAATTTGATATTTATTTAAAATTTGATAGGAAGTATTTTCTAAGATTGTCTATTGCAAGTCCCCAAATTGAAAACTGAAATGAGAATTAATGTATGTGTTAATGTATATACGTTTATGTGTGTTCGGAGAGGGGTACAATTGCAATCGTCTCCCTTCTTCTAAGGACTATTTAGTATTGCCTAGCTGGGACACCGGGTTGCAATATGCGATCTAGAGTAAAATATCTTGCGTTTTGTGGAAATGGCCAATCTACAGCTTTCTTTTGAATAATGTTGCGCCAACTGCCTCGTAGGTCGTCGAATAGTGTCATTTTCGACAGAATTCCAACCTTTTGACGCAACATAAAGATCGCACTAGAAAGACTATAACTGCCTTATATACAAGGGTGCACCCAGAAATATATTTTGGGAGGGGTTTATACTTCTGAAAATTCGCTTCAGATAATATGCTATTTAAAGTAAATTTTGAAGTTTCATAAATTACATTTTATGTACATAAAATTAACAAAGAACTCAAAGATTTTTAACCAACTTCAAAACAGGGGAGGTTATCAATTCGTCGGAATATATTCCCTTTTTTAATATGTGGTGCCGCATAACTTTTTAGACCAGGCGAACCGAATTCATTAATTGTTTTTTTTTTAATCGGAAAAATTAACGGTACTCCTAAATATGTATATGAGAATTGAAGTCGGTTGTGTTTTTTGCTTAACCCTCTAGTAGGTCATTTTTTGTATGAGTTGAAAAATTCAGGAATGGGTGATTTTAGCACGAGAAATCCAAAAATGATGTTCATTTCGATCTGTGACAGTAATTTTTTCCTAAAGGGGAGAAAAACCAAGACCGCCTGGAGACGGGCTCACCGATATACTTTGACGTATTTTCAGCTTTCTCTTACACAATGTTGACCTACGAACCGGCAATTCCGTCTGCAGATGGTCAAAAATGCAAACTGGGTTTTTATATGCCGGCAAGCCGGTCTGTAGACGGTCTGTGTTCGAAAGCAATTTTCTCCATTTCGAATGGTGACATAATTATAAAACTTATATCAAAATACTGTGCTTTTAACTACGAAACCCACTGAATTTTTGTATCAAAAAATGTTTCAAAAGAAAAAAATTCTTTAATTACGAACTTACTTAATAGCAAGAAATAATTAATTTTAACCGAGTCTTTCACAATCTGTGATTCAACTACCGATTAAAGTAAAACGGATTGACGTAACGGATTAAAATTTTCATCGTCGTAAAGGTACGCTTTTTTTAAAGATCGTGCTTTTCGAATATAGAAAAAAATGATTATAGGTGCACTAAATACGTGTTTAGTTAACGACCGTCTGGAAGCGGTGCAGCCTGCTAGAGGGTTAAAACTTGCACTTTATTGGACTTAAATTTAAGGGGCTACAAAACTATATACTCAAAAAAATCTAAAAATTCAGATTAAAAATTCAAACTTTTAATGAAAATTTGCTAAAGTTTTTTCTAAGCTCTGCATAAAATTTGAAAGCTTGATTTATATCATTTTCGTTAAAGCATAACCCATATTTTGATAAGAAAATAACAAAAAAATTTTAACTTTAAAAATCGTGGAAATATTAAAAAAAAATTACTATGTACTCATCATTGCTCCCCACTGTATATTATGTATACATACAGCCTTGGTCAAAAGTATTGGGCACACCAATATACATATGTGTGATGATTTAAAATTTATTTTTCCTTATTTAATGTTTAATATTTTTTTTTAAAGCCTAGCTCACTGCAGAACATATGCAGAAAACATAGAAATTCTACAAATTTTCAGCAAAATTTCAAACTTTTTATTCAGTATCTTTAGGAAAAATTCGGTACGCAGTTTTGTAGCCCATTAAATTTTTGTTAGTAAAGAGCAAGTTTCAAGTTGCTCGAAAATCCCGTTAATTTTTTATGATTTTTTTCGCTGACGCTGTCACGCATTTTCTTTCATAAAAAGTATGTTCGAATTTTTTCATATGGAGGAACAACACCGTCGGCGAAAAAAATTAAAAAAAAAAAAAACAAAGAGAGCAACTTGAAACTTGCACTTTATTATACCGAAATTTAATGAGCTACAATAGGGCATACCAAATTTTTTTCTAAAGATCCTGAATAAAATGTTTGAAATTTTGGTGAAAAGTTGAAGAATTTTTTTATTTTCTGCACAAAGTTTGGTATTTGGATTCATATGTTCTTTGTTAGACAGAGAGCTAGGCTTAAAAAAATATTAAATATAAAATAAACCAAAAAAAATATAAAAAAAAATCATCATATATTGGTGTGCCTATTACTTTTGGACAAGGCTGTATATGTATGCGTACAACAATAATATAATCATATAATCTTTTTTAACCTCAGTCTACCTCAGCTTACCTAGTCCAATAAATTATTCATGTGTAACACACTATTTTAAATGGTGGAGATTGATGAACCTTTTTTTTTATATATTTTCACATTTGACATACCGCTCCAGCAGTCATTCGTGGGTTCTGGTTCTTTCAAAATTGTTTCGCACACACTTACGACTCTCATCTAACTATAAAGTAAGAGAATAAATCATGTGTATAACATAAGCTTGAATAATTTGCCTTGAACTTCAAAAATAAAACAAAAAACCTCCTCCACAGTTTCTTCTGAAATGTCTAATGATGGCCAGCTTCGTAATTTCACATTAATTATTCAAGTTTCCTTAAACATTTCGCATGAGTCCCAATAAATGAATAAAAAAAATATCATTAATTTCTGGCCAATAACACGTGCGAAGAACGCAAAGTCAAACAGCCAGTGTGGCGGCTAACATTCAATTATGTATGTATGTATGTATGTATGTATGTATGTACATATACCAAGGCGCGTGTATCGGCACACGCCTAAACAAATATGATAGCACTAACCCCCCAGCTGAATGCCGCCGAAAAGTTGGTTCATCCAGAAATCCTACTTTCTAAAGTGGCACGCTTACCACAACTCTGGCAATGATATCATTTCAACGGCCAACAACTGCCTAACTGGCTTTTAGTTATTTGATTTATCACACCGATATTTTTTATTTTATTTTTTTTTGTGTTGTTTGGTTAATGACCTATTCATGAAGTAGCGAATCGAGCGGCAGCGCAACAGATGCTGCCATAAACGAAAAAAACAACAGTGTCGCAAAGGTGAGATTCACGATCGGTGAGAAGAAAAATGATTCAAGTTTTGCCCGTTACCCAGAAAGCGCTTAACACACGGAGGCGTTCAAGTGGCACCAGAGTGTCTCTTGATGCCAGACTGTTGCTAAAAATAAAATGTGACGGGAGGTTTTCGGCGTTCGGCGGAGCACTTCAGACGAGGTTAATTAATCTTTTCGACGAAATTGCTTATCAATTAAAACAAGTTGCGGGCAGCTGCGCGCTTAAGCCTTAAGCGTTTGGCTGTCGCCTCGGTTTATCTGTGGGCCAACTCAATGTGAATGCTAGGGAAGCAGCGCACGCTCGTGGCGAAGAAAGGAAAAACAATTGAATTAAATCAACAGATGTATATTTTATGCGTCGACTGCGAAAATGAAGGGAAGATAGAATCAAAATAATGCCCACATCTCCGTTCACTAGCGATTGTTCGCCGATTTCTATTGTCTATTTATTTGGTTTTTTGTTCACTCTTCGTTTTTTGCAAACAGTTCAGTTTTTTTTTTGTTAGCATATTCGATGGTCAAAAGCGATGAGTATTTCTCATCAAAAACTAAAGCATTTTTCGTATAAATACTTTCAGATTTCNGCGGAGCACTTCAGACGAGGTTAATTAATCTTTTCGACGAAATTGCTTATCAATTAAAACAAGTTGCGGGCAGCTGCGCGCTTAAGCCTTAAGCGTTTGGCTGTCGCCTCGGTTTATCTGTGGGCCAACTCAATGTGAATGCTAGGGAAGCAGCGCACGCTCGTGGCGAAGAAAGGAAAAACAATTGAATTAAATTAACCGATGTATATTTTATGCGTCGACTGCGAAAATGAAGGGAAGATAGAATCAAAATAATGCCCACATCTCCGTTCACTAGCGATTGTTCGCCGTTTTCTATTGTCTATTTATTTAGTTTTTTTGTTCACTCTTCGTTTTTTGCAAACAGTTCAGTTTTTTTTTTTTTTTAGCATATTCGATGGTCAAAAGCGATGAGTATTTCTCATCAAAAACTAAAGCGTTTTTCGTATAAATACTTTCAGATTTGTTCAAGAACATCATTCTCGCAGATTAACTCTTTCGCAACGGTCTTAGTGTAGCTATCGAGTTATTGGCATCAAAATGAAATTGTTCGTCGCGTTTTTTGCCGTGATCGCGGTTGCAGCCGCCGTTGATGTGCCTACCAATGATTATTTGCCGCCTGCCGAAACGGTTGCATTTGAACAAGTCGCTGTAGAACCGCAGGAAGCTGCCGTCCTCGCTGATGATGGCTACCGTTACAAGACCGTGCGTCGTCTGAAATACCGCCATCGTCGTGATGTCAACGAGCTCGTCTCCAACGAATACTTGCCTCCAGCAGCCAGCGCTCCCGTTGCCGTTGCCGAGCAACAAGTTTTTGTTGAGCCACAGGAATCCGCCGTCCTCGCTGATGATGGCTACCGCTACAAGGCCGTACGTCGTCTGAAATACCGCCATCGTCGTGATGTCAACGAGCTCCCCTCCAATGAGTACTTGCCTCCAGCAGCCAGCGCGCCCGTAGCTGTCGTCGAACAACAAGTATATGCTGCACCACAAGAATCCGCCGTCCTCGCCGATGACGGCTACCGCTACAAGGCCGTACGTCGTCTGAAGTACCGTCCCCGTCGTGATGTCAACGAGCTCCCTTCCAACGATTATCTGCCACCAGCAGCCAGCGCTCCCGTAGCTGTTGCTGAGGAACAAGTATACTTTGCACCACAAGAATCCGCCGTCCTCGCCGATGACGGCTACCGCTACAAGGCCGTACGTCGTCTGAAGTACCGTCCCCGTCGTGATGTCAACGAGCTCCCTTCCAACGATTATCTGCCACCAGCAGCCAGCGCTCCCGTAGCTGTTGCTGAGGAACAAGTATACTTTGCACCACAAGAATCCGCCGTCCTCGCCGATGACGGCTACCGCTACAAGGCCGTACGTCGTCTGAAGTACCGTCACCGTCGTGATGTCAACGAGCTCCCTTCCAACGATTATCTGCCACCAGCAGCCAGCGCTCCCGTAGCTGTTGCTGAAGAACAAGTATACTTTGCACCACAAGAATCCGCCGTCCTCGCCGACGATGGCTACCGCTACAAGGCCGTGCGTCGTCTGAAGTACCGTCACCGTCGTGATGTCAATGAGATCCCGTCCAACGATTATCTGCCACCAGCAGCCAGCGCTCCCGTAGCTGTTGCTGAAGAACAAGTATACTTAGCACCACAAGAATCCGCCGTCCTCGCCGACGACGGCTACCGCTACAAGGCCGTGCGTCGTCTGAAGTACCGTCACCGTCGTGATGTCAACGAGCTCCCTTCCAACGATTACCTGCCACCAGCAGCCAGCGCTCCCGTTGCTGTTGTTGAGGAGCAAGTATATGCTGCACCACAGGAAGCTACCGTCCTCGCCGACGATGGCTACCGTTACAAGACTGTGCGTCGCCTGAAATACCGCCAACGTCGCGTTTAAATCAGCATACTTTTAGATATCCTGCCCACATATTAAGTACAAGCTAAGACCACACTACTCATTGACTACCTCAGCGAATTTTATCAACGAATAAGAAATATATTTTTGTTATCATATCTTACATACATACATGCATTGTGTTTGACTTTGAATATCCTGCCAAATACTTGGTGAAAGCTTGTCAAGGCTGCATATGAAATATTTAATTTAGCGTACATTGCTTACCTTGAAAAATTTGCCCAATGCCTTGTAATCCAGCCCATCCGAGCAATTGAAGACGACACACTTTTTCGCTACAGCTTTGGCTAAATCTTTGCACGTCTCCGTTTTGCCTGTGCCTGCTGGTCCTTCCGGAGCGCCTCCCAAGCATAATTTCAATGCGCCCATAAGCGTTCTGAAAAAAAAACGAGCAAAAATGTTTAGTCAGCTATTTTGTGTTAAGTACAATATACTGGAAACGTTTAGCCAGTGTAAGTTTAAAGTATATATGAAGTAGTACAACAACAATTGCCTTTGGCTAACACGGTGAAAGCAAAAAAAAAAACAAAAACACCAAACATTCAGAGTTGACTGTCCATGACTTTTCATATCTGGCTGTACATTCGAAATGTATTTTTTCTTTCAAGGCACCCATAACACAAATTTTTATATTGAAGATCGTTTCACATACACGTGCTATGCAAATATGTTTGTGTGAGTGTGCGCTTCACTGCTTGTTTTTACCATCAAACAATGATTTATATGGTTTAATATAAAAGCGTTATCTATAAAGCCATTAAAAAAGGTTTTTGGTTGCATTACTTTGTGTGGGTGGAGAGCAACTGGATGTGACTAAATGGTTTTTACTATTATAATTTCTTTTCTATTCCACCTTTTCTTATTTTCTTTATGTACTCCATTGCTGCTGTATATCTACATTTTGCGTTAAAAGCCAATCGCTGGGCGGAATAAATTTTTGTATACAGTTTTTGTAGTACGAACCTTCGAATAGACAAGGATACTTTGAAGGCATTCAAGGTTTAAGTGTTAATAACTCGCATTACGTTTAATAAAGGCAGTCAGAAAAATTGGGTTAACTTAACTACTCAGTATATATTTTTAAGGGGCTGAAAGCCCTTCCAAAAGTTATACCGGAGAGTCAGGAGGTCTTCCACTCTGCATACCTTTCTCCTTTTTTTCTGTATGGAGTGTCACAAAGTGTGGGCCTTCAGCTTTCGCTACCCATGAAAATGTTGAAATGTTGAAAATCCCCAAATACTGAATTGCAATATTAACGAATATAGTCTAAATACACTTTATGAGAAGCATTAACTTACCTGTAACAGCGATCGGTAAGCGGCGTCACAACCAAACGTGGATTGTTGCCCAAATATTCCATGCCATATTTAACATCCGTAACAACCATGCTCACGCAGACCCATTCCTCACCCTCTGCAAAAAGCGTCAATTACATAAAAAAAAATAAGTGCAGAAAATTTTAATTATTGCGGAATTACTGTCAGTTTCTCGCCAATAGTAACGTAATTGAGATATCCAATCGAATTCGGTGATATTTTCAACATTGACATCAATTAGATATTTGACAACATCGCGAGCTAAAATTGCGAAGAGAAAATTTATATGCAGATCATGTGCTCTTTTGTAAGTTTTTATGTAAAAACTATATTTTTGCCAACCTACCATGCACGTCGAGTACAATCAGAGCCTCGATGGTTAGCCGTGTGCCCGTGGCAAGATCTGTGCGCACCAGTTGTACCAAATCATTAATTTGTGAGTTGGATTTCTCCAAATAAGCTGGAACCGCGTTCAAGCTAAATGCTTCTTCAACCTAATGGGTGAAAGGGTGTAAGGGTCAACATATGGAAATTAGTATGGCATGACGATTGCGAATCGATTTGAAAAAAAAAAAAAAACAACTAAATACCTGTGGAATTTAAAGAATGTAAAACTAGTGTACAATAGACAGCTGAGAATGGAAAACTGATAAGCAACCGCAGAATTGCAAACATTGCGATAATAATGGCGGACAAAGACAAAATTTCATAATTCTTAATAAAAACCGCAAATACTCGTATACACAAGCACGAAGCAAATAAAAATAAAATAAAAATCATGAACAATGTCACTCATCCTTGAGGATGTTCAGCAAACTACCCAGCCAGACAAATGCGGAGCGCTCTGAATGTGGAGTGAAAGCGGAGTCGAAAGTGTTTTTCTTTTTTTTTGTATATTCCCTGCAGGAAGTGGGACTAGTTTGTAACTAACTATTAACTAACTAGCAGTCGAATAGTGGTACTTTTGAAGGGCTATGGCCGCAAAATAGTGAGTGCTGGTTTCCTCTGCATTAGATGCCAACTAAGTTGTAGCTAACTACTTTGGGACATAAACTATCAATAAAAAAAGATTTTTCCAATTTTTTATATTTTTATATTTTTGTTTATTAACTTATTTTATTTAACATTACATATTTGCTTATTTGCGGTCTTATATTTGGATTCGATCAGACATAACATCAAAATTGTAATATAAATTTTCGACCTTTCTTTTATTTGTCCTGACTACGAAAAAGAATCTGCGAAGTGCAAAAAAAAATTTTATGGAAGTTATTTTTCTATGAGGATATTCAAATAGAAACTTGTAAAGAAGAGAAACTCCCGATAACGTCGCATGACTCCTAAACGACTTTACAACTAACTTCAAGTTAGTTTTGTCATAGCTAAAGTTAGTTATTTATTGAAATCCCGCAAGAAAGCTAACTAGAAGTTGGTTATTTTAATCAATAGGTTTTTTTTTCTGCAAGGTTGTTTGAAGGCTTTTTTCTTTGTATCTAGTCTGTAAGACTGTTGATACCATTGACTAAAAATAATTTAATTTTATTGAAAAAATAAGTAAGCTTTTAAAGGCGCTCAGTGTTCGTTAAACTTTAAAGTTATTTAAGCAATGTCCCTGAAACCTAAGATAAAGTTGCGTCAATATTAGACGTGACTCAACAAGAAATTTGCGATCACCGACGTCAAAGCCAAATGTCCTTGGCAGAAAGGTAATGTTCTGTATTTGGTGGGCCCAGAAGGGAGCTCTGTATCATGAGCTACTGAAAAGTGTTCAGACCATAGATGGATAACTTTATAGACAACAGCTTATGATATTGAAGCGAGCAATTGCGGAGGAACGACAAGAATGGGCAACCAGACATAAGTCATTGAACTTCCACCATGACAATGCTCGGTCGCACAAGAGGTTGAAACTTACCTACCTGATGGGAAACTTTGCTACCTGATGGGAAGACATATCCCACCCGCCTTGCATCATTAGACTACCATTTGTTCAGGTCGATGCAGAACAACCCTACGGAAGTGCGATTCAATTCAGTTGAAGGTCACAAAAATTGGCTTGATGCTTTCTAGGTCTCCAAAAATACCCCTTAAGAGATATTTATACCCGAGCGCACTTGTGCACAAGGGTATATTAATTTTGTTCACATAACGGTTGTTTGTAACAGCCAAAACGAATCGAGATAGATATAGACAAATGTATACAT